CAACCCTGGCCGATTTTTTGTTTTTTTAAAGACAGTGTCTTCCTCCGTTTCCCAGTCTGGAGTGCAGTGGCGCCATCTTGGCTCACTGCAAGCTATACCTCGGGGTTTAAGTGATTCTTTTGCCTCAGCCTCCTAAGTAGCTGGGACCACAGCGCACATCACCACAGCTGGTTTTTTGTATTTTTTTTTTTTTTTTTAGTAGAGATGGGGTTTCACCACGTTGGCCAGGCAGGTCTCAGACTCCTGATCTCAGGTAATCCACCTGCCTCAGCCTCCTAAAGTGCTGGGATTACAGGCATGAGGAATTTACTAGAATAATATTATTTTAAACATTTAAAATTGACATATATATTACATCATCGGGAATTAGATGCATTGATAAGAGGGTGATGAAAAATGTAAAAAATAGATACCAGTGTTTAAATATCTTAATTTATTCATCAGATAAAAATTTCCAGTGGGCGAATACTGGAGCGGCTGTGTTTGGAACACAATCAGTTGGAACCCAGTCAACCGGTAAAGTTGGTGAAGATGAAGATGGTAGTGATGAAGAAGTAGTTCATAATGAAGATATTCATTTTGAACCAATAGTGTCACTACCAGAGGTAAATGTTAAGGAATTAAACTTTTACTAATAAATTATTTTTCATTTTTAAGTTTAAAACTTATCCTGGCTTGATCTGTCAGGATATGTATCATTGTTTGCATATCTTTAAGAATGTTTACAATTTGAAACAGAAGCTCTATTTATTAGACATACAGCCGTTAAGTATAAATTCTCTTTCTGATGTTTTTATATAAATATTGCTTTATAAATTCTATATGTAATTGTTGGGAGGAAATAATTTTTTCATATGGTGCTAGAATATCATGTTTGTTTTTATAACATGATTCCGTGGAAAAAGTAAACTCATACTTGCCAAAGTCCTTTTAATAAACATAAACTTGTATGTTTTTTGGACAAGAACATTGCTCTAGGAAAACTATTTTGTCATTTTTTTAACCTCAGTCAGTAGCTGATACTTCTTTTCAATAGCAAACACTTTTGAAAGCTCTCTGTCCTATAAAGAAAAGCATTTAATTTTCAAAAGAACGAATACTACATGAAAGAAAATATTTAATGACAAATCAGGTCTTTACTCCCTCAGCCAAATTAGATACCTTCCTAGCCCTAAGATATATAACCGATTAACATGATATTACAAATTCTGTTAGTTATTGCAAAGAAAATACCTTAAAAAGAAATTGGGTCTTTGGAATTTGTCATGGAATTTATTATAAGCAGCAGCTTATAGAGAATTTCATCTACCATTATAGGTAGAAGTAAAATCTGGAGAAGAAGATGAAGAAATTTTGTTTAAAGAGAGAGCCAAACTTTATAGATGGGATCGAGATGTCAGTCAGTGGAAGGAGCGTGGTGTTGGAGATATAAAGATTCTTTGGCATACCATGAAGAATTATTACCGTATCCTAATGAGAAGAGACCAGGTTTTTAAAGTGTGTGCAAACCACGTTATTACTAAAACAATGGAATTAAAACCCTTAAATGTTTCAAATAATGCCTTAGTTTGGACTGCCTCAGATTATGCTGGTGAGTTTCTACATCAATTGCTGCTTTTCTTTTTTTGGACTTTTCTAAAATCTATAATAAAACGACTTATAACAGTTATTTTACTAAGGTCACTCTTTCCCGTTTCCCTGCCTAATAGATGGAGAAGCAAAAGTAGAACAGCTTGCAGTGAGATTTAAAACTAAAGAAGTAGCTGATTGTTTCAAGAAAACATTCGAAGAATGTCAACAGAATTTATTGAAACTCCAGAAAGGACATGTGTCACTGGCTGCAGAATTATCAAAGGAGACCAATCCTGTGGTATTTTTTGATGTTTGTGCGGACGGTGAACCTCTAGGACGGATAACTATGGAATTATTTTCGAACATTGTTCCTCGGACTGCTGAGAACTTCAGAGCACTATGCACTGGAGAGAAAGGCTTTGGTTTCAAGAATTCCATTTTTCACAGAGTAATTCCAGATTTTGTTTGCCAAGTAGGTATTAACTACATATCACAGTTGAGGTCTAGAAGAGTGTACCACACTAACTTGGGAAATTTGAGTGTTTTTCCTTGACCTCATCCTGTAGTTTTTAAGATTTCTTTAGGTTTTTCACACATTAGTTGGTATCACTACCCATTCCCTGCTCCTTCCTAAAACTTTCAACCTAAAATAATTTAGGCCGGGTGCAATGGCTTATGCTTGTAATCCCAGCACTTTAGGAGGCCAAGGTAGGCAGATTGCTTAATCCCAGGAATTTGAGACCAGTCTGGGCAATTCTTGTCTGGACAAAACATAAAAAATTAGCCAGTCGTGGTGGCATGTGTCTGTGGTTCCAGCTATGTGGAGGCTGATTCAAACTTTTAGTACTTAAGACTTACCAGAGACTAAGGGATGAGAAAAACATCTTTTTATTTCTCATCATCTTTTCAACAATACGAATTTCTTAGTTTTCAAATTGCATACTCAGGAAAGCTGGGCTTTAGGATTTATCCTGTAGTGATCAGTTCTATGTGCATTTTAATGTTTTACTCAGGATTTCTATTAATTGAAACTTTTTTAAAATAAATTTTTATTAATCTCTTTTTCAGGGAGGCGATATCACCAAACATGATGGAACAGGCGGACAGTCCATTTATGGAGACAAATTTGAAGATGAAAATTTTGATATGAAACATACTGGTCCTGGCCTACTATCCATGGCCAATCGAGGCCAGAATACCAATAATTCTCAATTTTTTATAACACTGAAAAAAGCAGAACATTTGGACTTTAAGCATGTAGTATTCGGGTTTGTTAAGGATGGCATGGCTACCGTGAAAAAGATTGAATCATTTGGTTCTCCCAAAGGCTCTGTTTGTCGAAGAGTAGCTATCACAGAATGTGGACAGATATAAAATCATTGTTTTTCATAGAAAATTTTATCTGTATAAGCAGTCAAAGCTTAGCTATTACAATTTGGTAATTATGTTCAGCTTTTGAAAATGGACGTTTCTGATGTACAAATGTAAAATTGCAGCTTATAGCTGTTGTCAACTTTTTAATGTGTTACAGTTGACCTTGCATGGTGTGAAATAAAAGTTTAAACACTGGTGTATTTCAGGTGTACTTGTGTTTATGTACTCCTGACATTTGTATTAAAATGGAATGATACTAATCTTGTTTAAAGCAATAGGACTTCTCAAACTATTGAAGGAATATGATATATACAATTTAATTTTAATTTCTTTTAAGATATTTGGACTTCCTGCATGGATATGCTTAACCATTTGAATAAAGGGACCACAGCTTGGATAATTTTATTTTAGATTTGAAATATATTTGGTAATCTTAACTATTGGTGTACTCAATTATGCATAGAGACTCATTTATGAATGGGTGGAGCCACAGAACTATAGAGTTAACCGAAGTGCTCTTCTCTAGAATCTTTACACCTCCTGTGTGGTTACAAGTTAACTTTTTAAGTAGAGTACCTTCCTTCCTTAAAATATGTAGCTTCCTGTTCCTTTTCATGGGTATTCAATTAATTTTTACATTTTAAACAAATTGACTATTTCCTTTAGGAGTTTTGTTCTAAACTTTTCTGTCATCTGTCTCTACTACCTCAGAAACTGCAGCTTCTTTCTGATGATAGAAATTGATTTTTTCCTTGTAGTTATTGTGATAAAGTATGAATATTTTTAGAAAGTCTATACCATGTTCTTTGGTTAAGATTTGCTTTATAAAAGATTGTTGCAGTACCTTTTTCTGATAAATTTTGTAGCAGAAATAAAATGACAATTCATAAAAGCCATTGACATTCAAAAAATTCGTTACTTGTGCTTCTGGTTCATTCTAATCTAAAGGAAGACAATTCAAAGGCAGTACCAAACTGTCGCATGATTTCCAGAGCTCCTAGTTTCTCAACTTTGATATACACTGAAAATGTATTTGGAAATGGCTTGTATCAAATGTTAGGCAAATTGCTAAAGAAAAGAGAATGTTCTTATTGGCCTGCTCAGTATGGAACTACAAAGAATCCAGGTAGAACACAAAATTTTGTATATTGCAATTACGAATACTGACTGTCTTCCACCCATCTGTGTTCTTCCTCATGAGTGTACCTCATTTTATTTAGTGAGGAAAGACAGTGAGGTTTGTTCCCTGTTATATGGGGATTTGGAAATAGGGTATCCTAAAGTAAATAACTGTTCAACCACCAGCCAAATGAGGGGAGGGATGTTGTGGGAGTAATGAGTGATGGTGTACCATCACCATTCCACTCGGCCACAAAGCCATATACCCGAAATAAACCTACTCCAAATTCATTGAACTGTGTATCAGTTCAGTCTTGAAAAGAACCATGGATTACATATGTTTACACTAAATATTTCAAATTGGCTTATTTAGAAATCTATATAATAGAAACTGATGTAAAGTGTTGCAACTTTTTAGCTGAGACAGTTGATGACTTTGTCGTGATTTTAGAATAAATTCTTAAGTAAATGCAAGTGCTTTTTAAGAGACTTTTTGCAAATTTCTATGCTTTCCTTAAAGCATTTAAGTTATGAATCAAAAAGCTTTAAAACTTTGACCAAAAATTTGACAAAATGACATGTAAACTGACTTTTCGAGTATTAGTTGGAAGATGCTTCAAAGTGGCTTGTGGCATTTATAAGAAAGTCTTTGTGTCACATTTCAGGAAAGGACTTTGATTTCTGTTACTTAATCACTGATGTGGTCTAAACCCACGATGATATGTATCTTTCCTTTTAAACTGGATTTTATATTGTCTCATTAAAATCTGCTTAAAGACAATAAAAGTAATTATTTGTACATCTTAAGTGGTACTTTATGGCAAAAAGAGTATGGCTTAAGTAATTTTCAGATAGTAACTGCATAAATACAGAGTTTATAAAACTTGGGCATTTGGGAACTTTAATCCAGAGAATTTAGGAGTAGTTGGCCCAGAGATGTAGTTGACAGTCACATTTTAGAAGATTACACCTCTGTAATTACATGAATGAGAAAAGTGAAGTGGTTGCACAGTTTCTCTCAGTCTTTGTTTATAGGTTTTCAGGTTGATGTATACTATGGCTAGGCACTGTTGTAGGTACTAGTAAAAGCTTTAAAAAAAAAAATGAAGTTTTTTTTCCAGGGAGCTTAAATTCTAATTACTAATTTTAATGCCCTGTTATACCCCATGTGGAACACAGGGAAAGTAAGGAGATAATCTTTGCAATTTTTATGCTTGGCTTTCTATTTGTTTTTCAACTTTTTAAAGAGATGCCTTGCTGTGCTAACCCAAGGTAGATGTAACTCCCAGGCTCAAAGCAGTGCTCTCGCCTCAGCCTCCCTAGCAGCCAAACTACGTGCGCGCCGCCACTCCTGGCTCAGATATATTCTTGGTTTCTCTTTTATATGGCAGTTAGCAAAGGCCACTTCTGATAGAAGGACAGGTATATGTGGTGAGCGTAAACGCACATCGAACCTATAGGTTAAATGGAGCTGAAGCGGATCGCTGCAGGCAGGTGCGGGGCCTCGGTGCCCCTCCAGCGGCACCCAGGCAGCCCGGGGCGGCACTCGCGTGGGGAGATGCAATGCTACTCAGTTGTGAAATCTGCAGTGCTAGCACTAGAAACCCGGAGGACGCGCGGTACGGCCAGGTTGCTTCCTCGAGGTCCTCCAGTCCCGCCCCGACCCGTCCTGTCTCTTCTTTGTCGCCGTGCGTGCCTCCGGGGGCGGGGCCTAACGTCGTGACGCACTGCGACCGCGTTGCGCCGCGGGTTTGAACGCGGTTCCCGGGGAGACCGCCGCGGGAGTGGTGCGCTATGGAGCCGAGGGTCGTCAAACCACCGGGGCAGGATTTCGTAGTGGAGCGTCTCAAAAGCCGCTACGGACTCGGAGGCAGCTGCCCCGAGGAGGTGAAGCCGCTGCCCCGAGGTCCGCGGGTGGGCTCCTGCTGCTGCGGGGCGGCTCGCCCGGTGCCCCCGCGCAGCTGGCCTGGGGGCGCGGAGCGGCTCTAGTCCCGGCCCCCGCACGCCCTTAGTGGCCGCAGCTCAGGCCTCGTGGAAGCGGACGGGAGGGGCGGGCATTGGAGGGGCGGGCATTGCAGGGGCATGGGGGTGCGGGGCGCCGCTTCACCTGTGCCTGCTTGTCTGTGTTCATGGTACATCGGGCATGGGGTGGCGTTGGAGAAAGTATTCAGCTTATTCTTGCAGTGATGTGAATGGAGTTGAGAAAACAATTGAATTGCTTTTTAAAAGCGTCTTATTTCGAAATAATTTCAGACACGCAAAAGTTGCAGTGGTACAAATAATTTCCATATACCCTCACTTGCATTCACAGATTAACATTTTGCCACATGTACTTTACCATTCGTTCTCTTCCCGTCCTTCCCTAGACACACATTTTTCCCCTTTGAACTATTTGAGGGTAATTTGCAGGCATCATGCCCCTTTACCTCTAAATAGAAATGTGTGTTTTTCCTAAGCATAAGGACGTTCTCTTTTCATAACCACAGTAGTATTTTCAAGAAATTTAGAATTGATACAACAATATTGGATAGAGTTCATACGAAATTTCAGCAATCATCTCGATAATACCTCTTATAGGCAACATTTTTCCTAGCGCAGATCCAATCCAAGAACGAAGACTGATTGCATTTGTACTTTTTGTTGCCTTTAATCTGGAACAGGTTCGCAGCCTTTGTTTTTGTAAGATTGGTTTTTCGAAAAGTGTAAGAATTAACTGGAATGCTTCTCCATTTGGGTTTATCTTATGGATGCCTCTTCATTAGATTGATTATGCATTTTTGGCAGGAGCATGAGATGAATGATGTGTAGCCTGCTGTGGGGAGGTGCCTGACGTTGGTTTGTCACATTATTGATATTTGATCACTTGATTAAGATGGTTTCTGCAAGATTTCTCCACTCTAACCTATGTAATTAATACATAATTTGTGGGGAAATATTTTGAGACAATAAAGTCAGTATATAAATTAAATATCTTTTCTTTTTTTTTAGTATGATTTTTCAAATTTTGATTGCTCTAAATGTAAGAGAAGATCTCCAACCTCCTCAGGTAAGCCAGTATTTTGTATATTTGGGGGTTTTAAAATTTAATTTGAGGCGGTGCATGGGGGCTCACGCCTGTAATCCCAGCATGTTGGTAGGCCATGGAGGGCAGATCACCTGAAGTCGGGAGCTTGAGACCAGCCTGGCCAACATGGTGAAACCCCGTCCCCAGTAAAAATACAAAATATTAACTGGGCATGGTGATGGGCGCCTGTAATCCCAGCTACTGGGAAGGCTGAGGCAGGAGAATTGGTTGAATCTGGGAGGCGGAGGTTTCAGTGAGCCTAGATGGCACCACTGCACTCCAGCCTGGGCAACAAGAGCAAAAGTCAGTCTCAAAAATGAAAAAGAAAATTAATTTGAGAGCGAAAATTTAAAAACTAATATTGTTTAGACTTATGGTCAATGTCAGATATTTTGTGATATATTGTTCTGGTAATCTTTCGTGGTTTCTTTTTCGTTGACAGATGATTTGGATATCTATTCCTCTGGAGATAAAGTTGGTTCATCATTAAAATATTATTCTGATGAAAGCAAGCATTGTAGAAAACCATTTTGCAGTTCATTCAAGCATGTAAATGTGAATTGGTAAAGTACCCTGAAACCTTACTGTTACTACCCCCTCAGTATCTCAAGAAACTGAGAAAGAGAAAAGGGCAGATTATATTTTTGCTCTTTCCTGAGAGCAAGTACAAAGCAGTCTGGAGCCTGCTAAATAGTTGAAGAGACTGATTTATTAATTTTTACTGAGAATCTGTAATAAAAGCATAGACCTAGCATTATATTTAGTGGCATAATGAAAAGTTATTTATATAATGTAAAAGATGAAAAGAAATATTTGGCCGGGCGCGGTGGCTCAAGCCTGTAATCCCAGCACTTTGGGAGGCTGAGGCGGGTGGATCACGAGGTCAAGAGATCGAGACCATGCTGGTCAACATGGTGAAACCCCGTCTCTACCAAAAATACAAAAAAAAATTAGCTGGGCATGGTGGTGCGTGCCTGTAATCCCAGCTACTCAGGAGGCTGAGGCAGGAGAATTGCCTGAACCCAGGAGGCGGAGGTTGCAGTGAGCCGAGATCGCGCCATTGCACTCCAGCCTGGGTAACATGAGTGAAACTCCGTCTCAAAAAAAAAAAAAAATTTTATGGTTATTCCTCCAGGACGCAAATGAAGACTCTCCTCCCATTCTTTAAAAACAATTTTAAAAAAAGGAACTGTGGGCCAAGTGCTCGTGCCTGTAATCCCAGCACTTTGAGGCCAAGGCAGGCGGATCACCTGAGGTCGGGAGTTCAAGACTGGCCTGACCAACATGGAGAAACCCGTCTCTACTAAAAATACAAAATTAGCCACTGCTGGTGCATGCCTGTAATCCCAGCTATTCGGGAGGCTGAGGCAGGAGAATTGCTTAAACCGAGGAGGCAGAGGTTGCTGTGAGCCGAGATCGTGCCACTGCACTCCAGCCTGGGCGACAGAGTGAAACTCAGTCTCAAAATAATAGGTAAATAAGTAAGCAAGCATGGATAAAATAATGTAAAATATCTTATTTTTTGTTTGTTTGTTTGTAGGGGGTTGCGGTAGGCAGAGTCATGCTCTGTTGCCCAGGCTATGAGTGCAGTGGCGCAATCGTAACTCACTGTGGCCTCTAACTCCTGGGCTTAAATGATCCTCTCACCTCAGCTCCCTGAGTAGCTGGAACTACAGACATGCACCACTGCTCCTGGTTATTTTATTTTATTTTATTTATTTGTAGAGCTAGAATCTCACTGTGTTGCCCAGGCTGATGTTGAACTCCTGGCCTCAAGAGATTCTCCCACCTCAGCCTCCCAAACTGCTGAGATCACAGGCATAAGCCACCATGCTTGTTCTGTCTTAATACTTTTTAACATTGATTGCATGTTGAAATGATAAACTTTTAGGTATAATATATTAAATAATATATATTTTTTTAATTGTATTTTTTTAATGTTCTAGAAAATTTTAAATTAACTATATGACTTGCATTATATTGCTTTCGAACAACACTGTTCTAGAAATTTCAACTCAGATTGTCTTTCTGGAGAGAACACCTGGGATTTTAGTTCTGCTCCACTTTCTACTAGTTATGTCACCCATCAGTTATTTGACTTCTTTAGTTTCCTTATGTTAAACATTCATTCTTTTAGCTAGAACTACCTTATAGATAACACCAAATTATTGGAAATCAAAAGAAAGTGTTTGGCTGCTGTGGAGTAGACTACAGGTATATGTCATTTTAAATGTGTAGAAAAAGATGCTTGTAGTGGATTACCAATGATCAAATAACTGTTACTTTTTACATGTTTACATTTTGCAATTTTAAAAATGTTTTTACATTTTTCCTCAGTTATGCTGTTAATATTTGAAAGGCAGTTTTATCTTTTTAAAATGGTATAGTGAACTTCTAGATTGCTGTAACACAACTGTTTTTTTAAAGCCTAGGTGATGAACTGGATTCTTTCCATGATTTGAAGAAACAGGAAAGAGAAGAAGAGTTAATTGAGAATGATCATAGAGTTAGTACCTCCAAAATAACCAAGCAGTCTTTTAAAGAAATAGAAAAAGGTAAAATAAATATTTTAGAACAACCAAGTAGTAACTTTGTCAAATAGAGTACATGAAGCTGCAGCTTCCCTCCAACTAATAACAGTGGTCCAAGAGTGCATATTTCTGTGTTCTGAACTTCTGTAAGCCATGAGATAGGTACTGTGCTTATTATAAAACTAAAGGAGCAGAGAAAGTTAAACTTTATTATTTTCCAGGAATATTCCTATACCCTCAAAATTTATCAAAATAATAACTGAGTAAATGATTGTGCTAGTATTTGAGTAACTCCAATATTGGTTTTGAGAAAATACTCCAGATTATTTAAAGTATGGCTTTCTGGGCACTGAACTACTGGCAGTGTTCTGCGTATCTGGCTGCATTTCATAGTTTTGTCAGGATTTCAAGAAATGAGACAACCAGAAATGGCACCCTTCTGCCTCTGGGCTACGGGACTTTGAGTTGCCCTGCTGGTAATACAGGTGCACTCTTCTCCCTGGATTTTATGGTCTACACACAACAACATTCATTTCCCTCTTTCTCCTCTCCTTCTGGCTGCATTTCATAGTCTCTTTTGTCCCCTTATTCTCAGCATTTGAGGAAGATGAAAAATAATCTTCTGGACTTGTGCTTCCTGCTACATGGTCGATTTTCCTGGTGGAAAACATGGGATAAGCTATAAGAGAATGTTGATTGCATTCCATTAAAACTAATGGCAAAAACCACAATTACTTTTGCACCAACCTCATATTGGAAAGTAGACAAAATTAAGAAATGCTCAGGCCAGGGATTGGTAAGTGGGGAACCTAGACAGGCAAGTAGAGCACTGTGCATGTGCCTTTCGCTTTTGGGCATTTGCTGAACTGAGCGAAGTGAAACTTTTCTTTTTAAAAAATTCATGCTATGTTTTATTTTTGCTTTTCTATTTTCTGTTCAAGATGGAGTATAAGATACCTCCACCTCCCTTTTAAAGTTGGGGCTCCCACAAGTCTAGTGCAAGTTAAAACCACTGAGCGAGAACATTTTATACTCTAATTGTTAGTAGAAAATAAATTCTGACAGTAAGTGTTGACAAGGACATCAAGCAAGAGGAACTCACTTATCTACTGCTGTTGGGAGAGTAAGCACTTTGGAAAACAGTTTGGTATCACTAGTAAAGTTGAATCTGCATATGTAACCCTATGATCTAGCAATTTCACCCTCAGGAAACTTATTTATTTTAATATATATATTTTTTGAGATGGAGTTTTGCTCTTGTTGCCCAGGCTGGAGTGCAGTGGAGTGATCTCGGCTCACTGCAGTCTCTGCCTTCTGGTTTCAAGCAGTTCTCCTGCTTCAGCCTCCCAGGTAGCTGGGATTATAGGTACCCGCCATCACGCCCCAGTAAATTTTTATATTTTTAGTAGAGATGGGGTTTCACCATGTTGGTTAGGCTGGTCTTGAACTCCTGACCTTGTGGTCCGCCCGCCTCGACCTCCTAAAGTTTTGGGATTATAATCATGAGCCACTGCACTCAGCTCCTCAGGAAACTCTTAAACTTGTGCACCAGAAACCATGTACAAGACTGTGTAGCATCTGTATAGCCAAAGCAGCTCAAATTTCTACCTATAGGAGGATACCATATATAGTGTTTGCAAAACAGGATAAACAGTGAAAATTTGTGAACCTGTTTAAAGGAAGATGTTATAGAAATTATGTTCATATAATTACATATAAAATATAAAAGCAGGCAAAAGAAACAAGGACTTTTAAAATTTAAGTAGTGGAGATTAAGCAGCATTTAATACTCATTTATGTTAGTGATAAATTTGATTTGGAGGAGAGAAGGGAAGGTGTTTAGGGTTTTCTGAGGTAATTTCCCATTTCTTGGCTAGGTAATTAACGTCTTTTTATGTACTTTAAAATATTTTATTTTGAAATAATTTTAGACTTACAGAAAAGTTGCAAAGATAGTGAAAACAATTCCTGTATACACTTCACTCAAATTTTCTGAATGTTATCACTTTACCATATTTGCTATATT